CACAGTGATTTTGTAAGTTATTCAAAGTCAGACACTAAGTTTGATGCATCAAATGTCTCCTCCCAACAAGCTGCAACCCTCCAGACTAGCTATCAAATTTTGTGACCCACACTGTGCAAGACTCTCACACTGTTTGTTTCCCATTAAGACTCATTCCATGACTTGATATTCGCCATAATTGTATGAATTCTGTGCTCCTATGATTATAGATCTTCTTTGACCTTGCCACTTTCCCTTGGTACTGTTGTAGTAATCACTGCCTCCACAGCAAATGTGCCACTGCCCTGCACAGGTACACAGGTGTGGGTTGATGCAGGAACACCTGAGGGAACAATATCATGGTGAACCAGTGTTGTCAGGCTAGCAAGGCAGTAAAGGCAACTGCAGCAAGTACAATTACAACATCAAAAACATTAACAGACTGCCCAGTGAGAAAAGAGACAATAAAAAAGAATCAATATCACAACTTGTAAACCTATGCAAATGTAAACAGCGAGATGACTCACAGTCCTTATTCGCTGACTTTGGTCTTCAGGAGTTATGCGTTATCTGAATTTTCTAGGATATCAGTACTGGTAGGATCCCTTATACAAGACTTCTTACCTGCCACTTCCAGCAATCTTTGTCGAATGAAGCTGACTTTGTTTACAAACTCCACATCCCGTGAGCCCAGGTCGCGCAGCATGGCCTGTTTGGTGGTGAGACTGACCCCCAGTGGCCCAGGTGTGAACAGCTTCTTGTCTGCAGGTAGAGAGGAGCCTGCCTTCTCTGCTGCTGGGGAGTGGTTTCCATTGGAAATGGCAGCATTTGCTTGTCTGTTGAGTGGCATGGTGCCCAGTTGGTACAGCTAAAGGGTTTTCTTATCCTGGAAGTAAAATAGAGCAATGTTAAATCTACTGTCAGAACAGAACTGGATGTGAAAAGGCTGGGCTGCCTGCAGGTATAAATAATTCCAACCAGACCAACAGAAGGATGGGAAGTTAATTTCGGCCTCGGTACATTTCGGTCCCATATGGATAAAAATGCACTGAAACCAAAATTAACTAAGGGACCTTAATATAATGAAGGGACTGAAATGCAAAAAAAAAAGAAGATGGAGTATACGTTAAATGCTTCTTGAGCAGATACAACACCAGGAATGAAAGACTTGTCTTATCCAACGTCTGCAGCTCAGACAAAGGAACAGGACAGGTTTAACCCGTTAGACAGGATGGTCTCCTTTCTAGCAGGACATTTACCAGGGTAGCACAAAGAAATGCACTCAACCGGAAATATCCTTTGTTCTTGAAAAAGTTGGATTCACTGTGAAACAATGTAAAGATCACATAAATCAATGTCATTATTCTGGTGCTGACAACAGACAAATAGTCATTGTCTTTTACGTTTTTGCAGTTTTCACTGTTAATTTTTGCTATCAACACATTGAATTATTCATTGCTTGAAACATCAACCAGTGTGGTATGTTGACTATGACATTTGTGGCTCCTATGGTATCATTTGGGTCTATCATAGCCGTGGACGACTCTGGTAACTTTTTGCATGATAATGCCGGTATTATCATGCAAAAAGGTTACCAGAGTCGTCCACGGCTGGGTCTATCATAAAATGCATGACAGCATGTAACTCCGTTGCTCAAGACTAAGAAATTACTAACGTTAGTAACGTTACATGTAACGTTACATGTAAACTGGTATAATCATACATGCAAAATTTATAGTGTACATAGACTCTGTTCAAGGTGAATTCACCAACGTGCACAGTGCTATTACGCAGCTCTTAAAGGCGCAAAGACCAGTAGTTTGACTCTCCCACCTTGAACCACAATTATCGGGTATTTGGAACAGCTCCATATCAACGAGACCGTTACAACTAAAATTTCAAAACGCGTTACGACAGAACGCTTCAAGCTCAGCCCTCCGGCCGGACCGGTTTGAAGGAGGGCCTGCATGCCCTTTTTCGTTAACCGTTATGGGCTATTTTAATTCACCGTTAATCGTTGCCGGCCCACTCTAATTCAACGTTAAGCGTTATCGGTATATTCATCGTGAAGCGTTATTGGTCGTTTTAATTCAACGTAAAACGTTATTTGTCATCCTAAATTCAGCGTTAAGCGTTAAAGAATAATTCTTCGTTACGCCCAAAGTGCTGGAAAAGGCGTCATTGAAGGTTTGAAAATCCAAAATTTCCCGGGGGAGAATGCCCCCGGACCCCCCTACATTGGCGCTCGACTCGCTTGATATCTTGAGTAAAAATATGAAAGCATTAGAAAGACCGCGTACCGACAAACACTCTCAACACCATAATTTGCCTCTCAAAATGCGGGAAATTGTGTTTTTGAAGGCTTAAAAATCCTAAATCCCCCGGACCCCCTCAGATTGCCAGCACCTTCGGCGCTCCTCTCTCAAAATCCATCGGTAAAGACTGGGCGAACGGGCAAAAGTCAAGCTGGGTAGAGCCCTGGCCGACTCGGACTCCCCTTTATTTGTGGACGCACTCCGGGAACAGGGCAGGTGGGAAACACAGGGAACACATACCTTTAATGGGTGCTTCATTACATGTAAGGTATACGTAATTTTGTCAGTGATCACCTTTTCTCACAAAGCGAGGATACCAAGTCCAGTGCAGCTCGAAAAAGAAGCCTATCAATTTACCGTTAAGCGTTGCCAACCGTCCTGAATTTACCGTTAAGCGTTATCGGCCCTGCTGAATTTACCGTTAACCGTTGCCAGGACCCCCCCATGCAGACCCTCTTGAAGGTCACGGGCACTGGCCGGTTCCTTCCAAATAATTTCTAGCCTTCTTTGATAAGTTTTTGAGAAATTTGCACTCATATAACGTTACACGTTGTATAATTTTTATCATCACACTCCAGGGTTATTTTGGATACTGTAGATTCCTTCACTTGACACTCTTGGTTGTTTATTCAAGGCCGCCATTAATTATGTCCGCGTCGCCGCACCGTTACTGGTCAGCCCATGGCCTAGTTAGGGACACATCGCCCTGAAGTTACACCGTTACGCAGTATATATCTCTCCAGTATTTATGCAAACGTATCTTAATACTTGAATTAGCATCGCATTATCAAGAAAACGACAGACGTGAAAATAAGAAACAACCAACCGTAATTCGACCCGGGCCCTTCCCGAGCTGCCTGTATTCTGAGCGAGGACCCCGACCCAGTTTCTGTCCCGTTCACGTGTACACTTGGATCCTAATCCCCTCCCACACCAATATAAAGGGCCCAATCATGGCAAAGCCAAACAGCATAAACTCGACATGGTTGTTACTTTGAACTTTCTCAAAAGATAATTAGATGACGGAAACCATCATATGTGTTGAAATATAAGGCATAATATATTTGTGTACGACATGGAATGAATCCTGTATACTGAATCCGGTATACTGTTATATGACACCAAGTCTATATCGCATACGGTCTGATCACGTGCATCTGATTACGCGGGAAGCGACCTTTCAACTCTAAACCCAATCTCTTATCACGCATGCGTCCTGACCTCGAGCCAATTTTTCAGTTTTCCTGAGTCACTTTCCTCTAACGTTTGCGAAGATTTACTTCATCTCTCTTTTTTCAAATATCGCTAACAGTAGCCACAAGTAAAGATGAGCTCTATAGGAACCGGGGTAAGTGTCTAGTGTTATATTATGCTGCCAGCTGTACGTTGTTTTAGATGAAATGTTAGCAAAAACCAAGCATGTTTCCGTGCTATACACATGTAATTTCTGT